GTTTCACACTGATTTTCATCAACCTCAAAAAGTAACACACATTTGCATATCAAATTGGCACGCACTGTATACTCCTACACTGATCTTTATAACTTCTGATACCACACGATAACGCTCGTGGAGGTCAATGAGATGGGCCCGTGCATGTGTATGACTTGATGCTAGGCGTTATTCGGATGCTCGAAATTTTTGTGAAATCAGTTGTGTCCTGTCAGTTAGTACAGCTGGTCGTGGAGAAGTACAGGGGAGTAATAACACCACTGGAAACTTGGGAGGGCTCAATCGTCGTCGTTGCTCATTAGATGCTGCAGTACATCAAAATCATCGTCAACAGCAGCAGCAGCAACAACGCGATGTGGATGCGGATCGGCGAGCTATGGGTAAGTCAGTTCATTTTGCCTCAGAGTAATTTATCTAAATTCGATAATACAATGTAGTTGGTTCCTATCAGTGAATTGTCTTAGATTGTAGTTTTTTGAGGGTTTTCTTGCCATTTCAGAAGCAGGGGCGGAAATTCGACGTCGACTGTCAATGATTTTACGTGTCTTTTTCCTGGCTTTCGTGCTGGACCTATGTAAGTGAGAGACTCGCCCGACCAGTGTTTCACCTCAATTCAGCTATCAACGGCTACTACTTGATACTGGTGATGAGCATTCTATACCTCATGCGCTTGGATGAGCTCATGAAGAGGGTTTGGCAAGCCAGAGGGGCGCCTGGCGCTGCTATCGGTGCTCGCCCTTCTCTAGATGTGCAGGTCAGTGAAATTGGAAAAAAGTTTATAGGTGTTGAAACCAAATTTTTACGATTTATCGATTATCAGTCGAAAATAAGCAAAGTCGAAATAGTTGCATCAAAAATTATAAAATTTTTTCATAGCCTTTTCATTTTTTTCTGTTCGCTGTGGACACTTATCACAAAAATTGGTCACCAGTGTTTTTAGTGATGAAATTCTGGACGAAGGCGCTCATTGTGAAGGGTGATGGTTTGTGTTCAGCTGAATAGGTTGGATCGATTACGTGAACGGAGGGCGAAGCGAGATGAGCTGATTCAGCAGGAGAAGGAGAAACGCGCTGCTGCAGTGAGGGAAAAAATACAGGAGCGGGGAGAGATCACAGAGGAGACAGGGATGGAGATGCAGGTGAAGTTTTTTTTTGGGGGGGGGGGGTGTTGGTTTTGCGAAACACATGTGGCTTTAGATCTACGAGGAACTGTATGGCTCGTCGCCAACACCAGAAGAGATAATAGACGCCTCATTGAGACCGCAGCATAAGAAAGACATCGTGGCGAGGTATTCTAGCTCTTATTTGAGAGCGATTCCGGTTGGGTTGTTGTCGCCTCGATCCTG